AAACAATTGAGAGAAGAGTGATGATTTTGGTTTAGGGTTCAATGCTAGAAACTCAGCGACGGGTTTGAGAAAGGAGTACAAGGGAGGAGAAAGCTTAATTGAGGAGAGAAAGGAGTGTGAATTTATAATTTTATCCACGTTTTAATGAAAATGTTAACAAAGGACCATTCGTAGAAATAAATATAATAATTGGGGACCAAATTAGTAATATTTGATATGTAGGGACTAAATATGTAAAAGGACCTATAACTGGGGACCTTTTATGGAATTTACTCTATATAATTTCTATAATTTTTTAATAAACAAATTACAAGATAAAATGGATTAAAAAAGTGTATTGGATGATGTGTAAAAATGAAAGTGGACAAATACTCTGGGATGGAGGTAGTATAACCGAAAGATATCCGAACCGAAAAAATCCAACCCGAAACCGATCCGGTTGATCCGATTGCCACCTCTACTTTGGGTGCATATCATTTTTGTACATCTTCTTGCATAAATTTTTTTATTTAAAAAAACAAATGCTTATTTATGTAATAAAAAATTAGAGTAAATTCCATAATTGGTCCTTTATAATAGGGGGGTTTCCATATTTAGTCCTCTATTATCAAATATTACCCCCGTAGTCCTTTTTTTAAAGGAACCTTTCCATAAATGTTCCTTTTTTTGATCTTCTGTCGTGTTGGTGTTAATTTAAAGGCTAAAAGTATAATTTGACATCAACATTATGTTTAGTGACGTGTTCTAATATTGGTTAAGTGGATAACACAAAAATAATGACTATGGTTATGGGCTAGGGTTCTGACGAAAGACCACATTTGTAGACTATGGTTGTAGTAGAAAGCGACTGTAAATCACAAACGACGCAAACGGAACAGCCTTTGAAATTGTGTATGACAAAAAAGATATATTATCATTGTTAAATTACACTTTTAGCTCTCAAATTAACACCAACATGATAGAAGATCAAAAAAAGGACTATTTGTGGAAAGATACCCATAAAAGAAGGATCACTTGGATAATATTTGATAATAGAGGACTAATTAGGGAAACCCCCTGTTATAAAAGACCAATTATAGAATTTACTTAAAAAATTACTTAATCTGTTCATATTTAGGTCCATGATGGATCTCAGGTCCACCATAATATTTGCGCTCCTGAATGCTATTTTGCTTTTGTATTCTTATCCATAGCCATATCATACATTTTTTGCTCCTTTTTTTAATTTTTTTTGTTTGAAAAAATATTTCTTATTCCCTATTGAGATGTTCCAAAAAAAAGTTATCTTTTTTCTTTTTTTGGAATAATTTAAGTGATTTATGATCTATTTCTCTCTTTTCCATCACTTTCAACCTTGTATTTTTACTTTTTTTAAACTTTTATCAAGTCAAATTTTATTTACCGCCTTCATTCCATCGTTTATTGTATTTGTTCAATTTCAATTTTTTATGTCATATCAATTGAATTTTGATTCTTAATTAAATAAAAATTAAATGACATATTAGTAAAAATATAATTTTATTAAATTTATGTAGCAGAGGTTTATAAAAATTGTAAATTGTGAATTATGCTAAAATCACAAATATCTTGGTCATAAATTATACAAAGTTGATAAATTTATTTTAAATTTTTAATATTTAACTACTCCGTATTGATAATATCTTATTGAGTAAATTCCATAAAAGGTCCCCAGTTATAGGTCGTTTTACATATTTAGTCCCTACATATCAAATATTACTAATTTGGTCCCCAATTATTATATTTATTTCTACGAATGGTCCTTTGTTAACATTTTCATTAAAACGTGGATAAAATTATAAATTCACACTCCTTTCTCTCCTCAATTAAGCTTTCTCCTCCCTTGTACTCCTTTCTCAAACCCGTCGCTGAGTTTCTAGCATTGAACCCTAAACCAAAATCATCACTCTTCTCTCA